ACAGTATGGCACCAATGAAACACACAATGAGGCCTCCTCACCCACCACTATCATGACCCCAGTCATTGCTTTTCAGTTCTGGCTAGACTGGAGCATTGTACACTGGTACAGATACGAGTTCACAGAATCCAGGTCAGAGAAACCCCTCCGGAACAGAAATGGGAGTAGTGATGCCAGGAGGGCAGGGAGAAGGTGGGAGGAGAAGAGGAGAATGATTACAATGATCACACATAATCTCCCCTGTCCCGCCCCCAGGGGGATAAACAACAGAAACATGGGTGAAGGAAGACGTCAGTTGGTATAAGATATGAAAACAATATTAATTTATAATTTATCAAAGGGTTATGAGGGTGAGAGGGGGGAGGGAAGGAAAAAAGAGGAGCTGATATCAAGGGCTCAAATAGAAGGTAAATGTTTAGACAATGATGATGGCAACATATGTACAAATATGCTTGATAACAATTGATGTATGAATGTTATAAGAGCTGTAAGAGCCCCCAATAAAAAAGAATCAGGCAATCTCATGATTTCTTATGCCAGCAGTGACAGATAAAAGTGCAGGGGTGTCATTTTCAGTAACAGAAAGAACATTTCACAACCTACTGTGAAGTACAATACTGTCAGTGATAAGATAATAGCCGTATAATACCTATGAGATTTATCACTATTATTCAAATTTATGCACCAATCGCTAATGTCAAGATGAAGAAATTAAGGATTTTTCATAATCACTAATAACTGCAAAGGTGAAAGGTAGAAACAAACAAGGAAGAATGTGGGAAAGCATAGCTTTTTGATAACACTGAAATTTAAGACTGCATGATATGACTTTGCAAGACCAAAGGCTTACTTACTACAAATAACTTCTTTCAGCATAAACAGTACATGTAGACCTTGCCACATGAAATACACCGGAGTCAAACAGACTACATCTGCGAAAACAAATGATGGAGCAGTCCACCGTCTTCAGTTAGAAGACCAAGAAATAGCTATAGAACAAGCCATCAGTTGGTCACATGCAAGTTCAAGTTGAAGTTGTAGAAAATCAAGACAACCCATGGAGTCAAATTACATCCTTGAGTATATCCCACCTGGATTTAGAGACTATTTAAATTCAAATTCCAAAGAATTTGGAAGATAGCTACTTCACCAAATTAATGGAAGAAATCCATATGCAGAAAATTTCTAACAATATCATCAATCACATACAAGTTAAATTTTGCTGAAGACAATCTAAAAACAGTTATATTACATTAACTGGGAGCGGTATATTAATAGGAAGCTACCAGGAATTCGACTTTATTCAGAAGAGGATACAGAACGAGGTCTAGCTTGCTGATGCTTGATGCATCTTAGCAAAGAACAGAGAATCCCAGAAAGATGTCTACTTCTATTTTTACTAAGCAACAGCATTAGACTATGCAGATCATACAAGTTATAGATAACATTTCGAAGAATGAGAATTCCAGAACACTTAGTTGTGTCGATGTAGAACTGTATATATAGACAATTCTGACACACAGTGACCCTACAGGCAGTGTTCCATAGGTTTCCCACGACTGCAAATCTTCACAGGAACAGACTGCCTCATCTTTCGCCAGAAGAGATTGATGGAGTCAACGTGAGACTTTTTTGGTTAGAAGCTCAAAGCTTAACCCACTACATCATCAGGGGTTCATCTCCATATTCTTTAAAAGAGCTAAACTGATCATCAGATAATCCCCAAGGTTGGCAAACATATGGAACAAAACATATATGCCTACTTTGTCAGGGGGAAAATTTGTACAATGCATCAGCATTCCCTTATAACTTTGCCCTTGGCTATAATCTGCAACTCAGCGCTTTCCTCTCCCTGGAGAGTTATTGTACCAGAGCACCTGGAGCCTGGAAATAAAATGAAGAGATGACCAGCAATATTCACAAAAGCAACAATCACACATGGACCATTCAAATTCTGTAAGCTCTACAGTGGGTAGGTAAATGGCGGCCCATTCGTACAGTGGCGCACAGACAGAGCAGAGCTGTAGACATCGCCAGGTATGAAACCAAGTCACCTACAGAACAATTCACCGAAGAAACCCCACACAATCATACTTGAATTTCAAATAGCAAAATCAAAAGGGAAAGCTAAACAATATACATTATAGAAGAAGGCTGGAAGAGATACAGCTATTATACCAGGAAAAACAGGATTAATAATAATACACTTTTAAAGCACATATAGTTATGATATCCGGGCAGGTGATGAGATCAGAGCGAGATACTGGGGGAGGCCATAAAAAGTGGCTCTACACACAGGAACAGATGACGGGGGAGGAGGAGAGACTGGAGCACATCCTGACCCACTAGGCCAAATAGAGCAGCCAGTCCAAAGAGGACCACATGGCCAACCCCACTATGAGACG